TAGCAAGATGCAGCCACCTCTGTGGTGGGACATGGCACCTATATGTAACAGAAGTCTTTACTCAGTACAGCTACCTCTGGGGTGGTGCAGGGCAGCTCTAGAAAAGTATTAAGGGAATCAAAGGCCTAAAATGTAGGTACCAGATTACCAGAGGCAATGGAGGCCCTGTTCACTGTACCCAGTTACAGGTACCAGCCCCCTCTAAAAAACAGCCCACTCATTTGGGCACCCATGGTTGAAAAACACTGGTTGTTGTAACCACCTGGAGCAGAGCAGGTGAGTCAGGGAGGAGGAATGGAGGCTGGCACTGCACAGCAAGTCTGTGCCTCACAGGAAAGGCACCATTTCCAATAGCATAGCGCCCCCTGGGGCCACAATGCAACCATGACAATGTCTGCAAGAGATGATCCCCAAGTAACCCAGAAGCCCCAACTACCCAGACATGTCCAAGCAACAAGTTTAGCATTTTCCTTGTGCAGGATAACTCATGAAAACACAGAGCAGAGTAATCAAATTGGGTCAGCAAGATAATATCAGAGTGAAAAGAGAACCCAAGAGTCCTGCCTTTCAGCCTCTCCACTACTGCTCTAACCCACCAAACCCCACTCCCTTTTCAGAGCTGGGATAGAACCAAGAAGTCCCAACTCCCTAACCATCCCCTCCCACCACTAGACCCCACTCTCCTCCCAGAGCCAGGATACATTTAGTCCCCAGTCACCTCTGCTCTAAGCACTACACACCCCACTCTGGCAGCTGGCACGCACCCTTTGTGATGTAGAGGTAGAAGAAGTCGCAGTAGAGGATGGTCTGCACCAGCCCGGCCACAATGGCAATGAGGTCGAAGAAGCCCTCAAACTGGTAACGCCAGATCCAGTTGAAGAGGTACAGGGCACGGTAGACACCCAGAGCGAAAAGATAGTGGCTGGTGATGGTCTCCGCTTCACCCGTCTTGCTCACCATGAACAACTGTGGCAGGATGGCCACCGACTCCAGGTAGATGGAGAAGGTCCAGAGGATCTTGGGGCAGCCATGGCACACACGAGCCAAGGTAGGGGCAGGAGAAGGGGAGGGTGGAGATGGAGAGAACAAGTTAAAGCAGAGTCCAGGGACAGGTCCACTGTAGGGACCAGACCTGGGATGCTCAACATCAGGGACCACAAAAAAAAAAAAAGACACCAGCACATCACCTGGCCACTGGCAAGATAACAGAGCAGCCACTGTGCATCAAAGCAGGTGAACGGCCAAGACATATCCTGACTCGTACAGGGGCAAAGATGCCACAGGACATTAGCATAAGGCACACTAGCAGGCAGTACTGCAGCCATGGCCTGGCTACCAGAAGGAAGGACATGGTGCATTAGGGTGGGGCACCTTTGCTGACAAGGTGCCTCATAGCCTGGCAACTGGACAGGGGACAGAAGCCACAGTGCACTAACATGGAACAATGCCCCAGACGTGACCCAGCTACCATAAAGTGGATAGGGCAGTGCATTAGTGTGGCCCACCATTCTAGACAATGCCCCAGCCGTGACCCAACTACCAAACAGGAGGAGGACCCATGAAGCACCAATGTAGAACAGTGCCACAGCTGTGGCCTGGTTACCAGAGAGGAGACCCAGCCTATTAACAGAGGCCACACGCATGAACAACATGCTAGCTGCAGTCTGGCCACAAGATTGTAGGGGAAACAGACAGCCACATGTGGCAGGCACACACTAGCTATGCCCCTTGGGGTAGGGAGTATCCCTCCACAGCTGCCCCACCCCTGGAATGTCATGCAATGCCCACCCCACCCCCCAGAACACCTGCAGTTACCTCCAAGGGAGTGAAGTCATGGTTCACCAGGAAGGCAAGCACAGCTGTGGGGATTACTAGGAACTCCACCCGGAAAGTGTCATGATTCCCATCGTATGTGGCCTTGAATTTGCTGTAGATCATCCAGACTGTGGCATAGGAGCAGGCAATGTACACTACCTGGAAAAGGGATAAACCTGGCATTCAGGACTGGAAGTCACCATCGCTGCGTAAGTACTGCCCTGGCACAGCCCTGGGTCTGCACAGACAGAACACCTGCCCCACAGAGCCCAGCGCTGAGATGCAGTTGCCTCGGGGAGCTGGGAAGGTCTAAAAACCACATAGGAAAAAATGCACCATCTTTTAGGGCTGGCAGTGAAAAATCCCACATACAAAAGGAAGTGGGGGGTCAGCGAGGAGGAACACTCTCCACCGCTTCATGGCCCACCCCCTTCTGAAGGGCACATACAGCCCATCTCCCAGGCACCCTGAATAAGCTCCACAGGCCCATGCGGCCCAGTATCTTACCCCATCCCTACCCAAAATCATTCCCAGGCCCCATCCAGCCCAGTATCCCACACTCGCTCTGTCCCACAGGCTCATCCAGCTTAGTACCTTCCCACAGTACTTCCCCTCGATGCTTCCTTTTAACACCCCCCAGGATCTCCTTGCTTAGATGATCCCACAGCTTCAAGGGGAGCATAGCTTTGCGGGGTGGGGGGCATAGAAACACTTAGGATGTTGAGGGGCTAAAGGCAGTGCTGGAGCTCCAGAGGTTCAGGGGCTTGGAGCAGGAAAAAGCCCTAGGTAGACGGA